ATGTTCCTATCCTTGCCTTTCATTCTAGAAGGATCCCCCAAATCAGATTCTAGACTTCCTCCCAAATGCGTTCCTGAAATTACTCACAGGCTGGTTCCAGCCTTTCTGCCACACCTGCCTCAGATTCTGGCTCCACCAGCTCCCCTGAATGCCAGTTCTAGACCTTACTTGGATCCTGGTTCTAGCCTGCCCCAGAATCTTCCAGAAGGAGTGCAGATAGGCAAACCCTCCCTTCCTCGTCCCATAAGGTCTCCAAAGAACCTAGCATGGGTCTGGCAGCTGTACCAGTGGCACCCGCCCATCCGGCCTGGCACATTGTTGTATCTCTGCCTCGGTGCCCTGGTAGTAAATGTCCAAAACGAAGCCCTATGTGGGGAGAAAACAGAGTTAGGGAAAGGAGCAAGAAAGGACCAGCAAGGAGGGCACCGCAAGGTGTTCTCCAAACGAAAACCTAGGACGGAAGTCTGACAGGTACCGGGGTGCTCCCAAGGACACGAGCACTGAAGACTCCCACCCCTGATGGTAGAGGGCAGGCTTTGCATGTTTTCACAGCCTCGAGCACAGACCCTAGCACAGGGTCGGTGTGCAATTCATGTTTGGCAAAAGACTAAGTGAGCACAAGGGCTGTTCAGAGGGGACCTCCTCCAAATCCAGACCAGGCTAGAAAGTCCAGGATGAGAGGATTCCCCAAGCATAGGACCAGGAGGCCAACCCAGATGGTCAAGCTGCCCACACAGCTGCCCCAGGGGCCCTACCTGGGAGTCAGTGAGGTAAATGCCATGGTTCCGGGCATAGGCTGGGTTCCCTGGAAGGGCAATCACTTTTGCTCCCCGGAAGTTGTCCCAGCTGATCCCTGTGAATGGGGCAGTTAGGAGGTTCCCCCAGGGGCCTCAACCCAAGACAGGGGTCTCCAACCAGGTGGAGGCAAGAGCACAGGGCAGGGGCATCCAGACAACTCTAAAGGGAATATCGTTTCCAAAGCCAAATGGGCATTCAATTCCTCTGGGAGAATGACAATACCTCCCCTCCCCAAATTCTTCCACAGAGCCCTGCAGGGCAGAAGGGGCAGGGCTGGGTGTCTCCATCCTACAGCCAAGAAGACTGAGGCCCAGAAGGGGAAGCCCTAACTCGGTCTGGGCTTCATTCTCCACACCCTACAGTTTCCTTTCTGAACAGGGCATCAGGCCAGGCCCAGAGACCAAGTGAAGAAAGGTATCTGGCTGTGGCCAGGGAAGGCAGTCCCAAGGCTTCTCAGACTCACCTGGGTTTGGAGGAACAGACAGGAGCATGTCGGTGCTGCAAACCCACACACCCGGTGGGGAGCCTGGGCCCAGCTGTGGAGAGAGACAGAATGCAGCTGGTGGCCTGGACCAACCCTTCCTCTGCTCCCACACAGCCCAGTCTCGGCCTGTTCTATGCACTCCAGCAGCCATCCTGTCCAGAAAGATCCTGTCTGCCGAGGTAACAGGGCCTCCCCTGACCCATGGCGCTGATGCCAACCCTCCCCCATCCTCTGAGGGCCACACCTCCCCACCAATGTGGCCAAGACTAACCTTCAGAAGCTCTAACTCTGGGCACCTCCAAAGCCTTTCTTCCTGGCGTCTCCTGTCTGCGCCAGCACAGAATATACAGCTGCTGGTGCAGTGGGAGGGGTGTGGCTGTCTCTGGGATGAGGCCCTGTGGTTATGGCCAGCCTTACCCGATGGCTCATGGTGTCCAGCAAGCAGTCCAGGTTGCAGACCACAGCCTCCACCGGAGCCTGGGGGTTCTCCACAGGGAGGCAGGTGAAGGCCCTGCCACAGTCATCAAAAGGGAAGTCTCGGCCCTAAGGAGGGAGCACGGACAGGAAAAGAACCCTTGGGGCAGAGAGCCTGGGGACAGCCTATCAGCTGTGCAAAGGCAGGAAGCCATCAACCTAGAAGACTTTTAAAAATGTGTTTTCTCGGGGTGCCTGGCTGGCTTAGTCAGTGGAGCACGCAACTCTTGATTTCCGAGTCGTGAGTTCGAGTGTTGGGCATGGAGCCTACCTAATAAATCAGTAACTTAAAAAGCGTTTTCTTGTTTTATTTTTTTCTTAAAATGTTTTCAATTATATGATTATGGTGAAAAATTAGACAATGCAGATGTGCCCAAAGAAAACAGTTCCTCAGGGATGACAGCCATTGCCCTCATTTTGAGGTACATCCTTTTAGACTTTTCTTTAATTTTTTTCAATGAGATCATGAGAAGGTGGAGAGATAACAGTAACTAATACATACACACACACACACTACAAGTAAAACTAAGGGAAAAGTTTGGGAATTGTATCAATGTCAATATCTGACTGTGGTTACACTATAGCTGTTGAATTTGTTACCACTAGGGGGATATGGGCAAAGTTTACAAAGGCTTCTCTCTCTGTATTATTTCTTGTATGTGGATTGACATTCATCTTCATCAAAATTCCAATTAAAGGGGTCTTGGCTGGCTCAGTCAGTGGAGCCTGCGACTCTTGATCTCAGGACTGTGTGTTAGAGACTCACGCTAGGTGTAGAGATTATTTTTAAAAATCTTGGGGCCCCTGGGTGGCTCAGTCAGTTAAGCATCCGACACTTGATTTTGGCTCAGGTCATGATCTCATTGTTTGTGAGTTCAAGCCCCAGATCAGGTTCCGTGCTGACAGAACGGAGCCTGCTTGGGACTTTCTCTCTCCCTCTGTCTCTGTCCCTCCCCAACTCATTCTCTCTCTTTTTTTCTCTCTCTCAAAATAAATAAGTAAACTTTAAAAAATAAATAAAACTTCCAGTCTCCTCAGGCCTTTAAAAAAAAAATCTTAAAAAAAAAAAAAGGAAAAGAATGGCTGAAGAAAGTTTAAAAACACACACACAAAATTCCAATTATAAAATTGAGATCAGGGCGCCTGGGTGGTTCAGTTGGTTGAGTGTCCGACCTCAGCTCAGATCATGATCTCATGGTTCGTGGGTTCGGGCCCCATGTCAGGCTCTGTGCTGACAGCTCAGAGCCCGGGGCCTGCTTCAGATTCTGTGTCTCCCTCTCTCTCTGCCCCTCCCCTGTTCATGCTTTGTCTCTCTCTCAAAAATAAGTAAACATTAAAAAAAAATTGAGATCATTCTATATAAACTTGTGTGGCTGGCCTTTTCCCCTTAACAATGAAAATACATCCATTGAATGATCACAGTGAGCCAGGCCAGGCCCCATTTCAGCATTTACATGGATCATCTCAGCACATCCACACAAAGTACAAACTGTTGCCATCTTCATTTTACAGATGAGGAAGGTAAGACCTAGAAAGAAAGGGTCAAGTGATTTGTCCAAGGTCACAGAGCTAGTAAGTCTCTTTCCAGGTAAATGTGTAGAGTTAGCTGGAATTTTTTTTTTTTTTTTAGTTTATTTATTTTGAGAGAGACAGAGCATGCGCGCACACACACGCAAGTGGGGGAAGGGCAGAGACAGGGAAAGAGAGAATCCCAAGCAAGCTCTGTGTTGTCAGAGCAGAGCCAATACAAGGCTCAATTCCATGAACCTCACGATCACGACCTGAGCCAAAATCACGAGTCAGATGCTTAACCGACTGAGCCACCCAGACGCCCCAGCTGGACTTTTAAATCATTGTCTAACATTCCACCAGGAGGATATACTGCTTATATTCAGCCAGTTCCCTATTTCTGGACATTTGGATCAATTCCGATTCTGATTCTTCTGTATCTGCACAAGGAACACCTTGCACACACACAATGGTAGAACAACTTTCTAACCCCGAGGATTGATGCTTCCAGCCTTCTCCATGGCCCCTGAAGAACTACAAGGCCCTCTACTAACCATGTGCAGGATAAGGATCCGGGCCGAGTGCAGGACATCAGATGTCACCACCTGTCAGAAGTGGAAGAGCCCCGTTGACAGAAGCTTGGGCAGATGGTACCCAAGGATGTTGTCCTCTTGTCCAGGGAGAGACCCCAACACAAATCCCCTCAGGTACCAAAGGAAGAAAAGACAAGGTCAAGACCAATGGCCATAGGCAAGCAAGGGGCAGCTCTGGCCCCTCCTGGATAAAGAAGCCTAGTGGCCCTCTACCTGGGCCACTTCTCTGCCCCTGCTTTTTGGGAAAAGCTACAAGCAAGGATGTGGGGCTGACTGGGTGACTCACAGTAAGTCAAGCTCCACGGCAACCACACAGTGGTGGCCTCCCCTGCCGGTGCCACCTCCATCATCAGAGCATGTCCATTCCTATGACCACCCTCACTCCCTACGTCAGGGTGCCATGAGGGCCAGGTGACTGAGTGAAGTGGCTGTGTGTGTCTGGAAGGTGAAGCTGGTGGGAACACTGACCCCTGAGCCCTGCACAAAGCAGGCAGCCTTATCCCAGTTCCAGCAAAGAGATGCCATGTGGAAAGGAGAGCCAGGAAGTTTTCAAGAGACGCCAGAAAGCCCAATTCTGAGATACTGGCTCCGATGTTCTAAAACCACTAAAAAGCCTGGCCCTGCCTTCTCCCCCCTCCTGATAAATCTACCCAATCTACATGCACAGAAACTAATACCAAATGCTGAACTGGCCAGGCAATGGAGCCCCAGGAGCATGTGACCTCGGAAACAATCTGTTTGAAGCCCGCATCCCCGTTCTGACCGGGACATGTGCCAGAGGATGGCACTTCATGAGCACTCACGGTGAAGCCTGCCCGGGCACTCAGGTGTTCCGCAGCCACCAGCAGGGCATTGAGGGTGGCTCCTCCACTGCCCACGCGCATCTCAGGGTCCTCCACAGCCAGTAACAGTGTCCCGGCCGGGATCTGCTCCCGCTTCTGCCGCACCTCCAGCTCTGTGGTCAGAACACAAGCTGAGACTGGCCCCCAGCCTCCCCACCCTGGTCCAAAGCACCTAGAGCAAATCTACTGATAGCCATTATTTTATTTTCTTTGACCTAGGGGCTTCTTTTTAATTGACGTATAATTGACACACAACATTACGTTTGTTTTAGCCGTGCAACACAATGATTTGATATTCGTAAAAAATATGGAATCTTCACAAATTTGCACGGCACCCTTGAGCAGCGGTCATGCTGACCTTCTCTGTGTGGTTCTATTTTCAGTACCTGTGCTGCCAGAGAGAGCACTCAGTAGCTTTTCATGGAGTAGCTCCTTAGATCTTCGCCCAACTCTGTGAGGTAAGTACAACCAATGCCATTTAACAGATGAAAACATTTGAGTCTCAGTGAAATGATACGATGTGTCTTGAGGTCTCATGGCTAGAAAGCAGCAGAATCTGGGCCTGAACCCAGGTTTCCTGGCTCCTGAGGCTGTGGGGGGTATCGTGGGGGTTCTCCATCAGGGGTAAAGTGGGAAGGAGGGGGTCCCTACCTCTCTGGAAGACCTGGACATTATCCTTGTACTGGCACGTCAGGATGATGACCGTCCAATCAACCCCCTTCGGCTGCGTCATTCTGGCCAAACTTGAGGGGGTTCCCTGCGGCAGAGATACAGGTGTGTGTGGACATCTCAAAAAATTTATCTTACCCTGAAATTGATAGTTCAATGAACTTTTTTTTTTTAATTTTTTTTTTCAACGTTTATTTATTTTTGGGACAGAGAGAGACAGAGCATGAACGGGGGAGGGGCAGAGAGAGAGGGAGACACAGAATCGGAAACAGGCTCCAGGCTCCGAGCCATCAGCCCAGAGCCCGACGCGGGGCTCGAACTCACGGACCGCGAGATCGTGACCTGGCTGAAGTCGGACGCTTAACCGACTGTGCCACCCAGGCGCCCCAATAGTTCAATGAACTTTTAACACATGTATAGATTCTTGTGGCCACCACCACTTTCCACACCCAGAAAAACCTCCGGCATGCTATCCCCTTGGTCACGCCCTCCTCCATCCCTCACCGTTGACAACCACACTCTGTTCTTCACAGCCATGGCTGGAATGTAATCTTTTGAGATTGGCTTCTTTCACTCAACATAATGCCTTTAGGATTCATCTAAGTTGACTGTGCATATCACTACTCCTTTCTCTTTATTTGCCAAACAACAGTCCGTTGCATGAAGTGACCTCCATGGTCTGTTTCTCCATCCATCCAAGGACATTTGGGGCTATCCCCAGCTTTGAGGAATCATGAACAAAGCCGCTATAAACATTTGTATGGCACCTGGGTGGCTCAGTTGGTTGAGCATCCGACTTCGGCTCAGGTCATGGTCTCACAGTTTTGTGAGGTCGAGCCTCGCATCGGGCTCACTGCTGACAGTGTGGAGCCCACTTCAGATCCTGTCTCCCTCTCTCTCTGCCCCTCTCCCGCTCGTGCTCTCTCTTAAAAAAAAAAAAAAAAGTTGTATGCAGGTTTAGTGTGAACCTAAGACTTCACCTCTGCCAATGTACACCCGGGAATGGGATTGCTACGTTATATTACATTTGACTTTGTCAGTGTGGATGCATGTGATCTCCTCAGGAGAGGAAGTGAGGGAAGCAAGATGGGATTGACAGTGGGTCCCACCTTAAAGCAAAGGGCTGCCCCTCAACATTCAATTATTGGCTGTGAGCTAGGAGGAGGGGAGAGAGGGAGGTTCTAGCCTCCCAGGCTCCTGAAGCCAAGGGCAATTCCCTGGAGAAGAGGGCACCTGTGGGAGGGGTGCACCAGCCTGTTCAAGGGCAGAGGGCAGGGTGCCTACAGTGCCCACTACAAGGACCTCAGAGGAGACCCCCTCCCCAGAAGCTCCAAGCCAGAAGGGGGCTACCACCCACCGGTCAGCCATCTTTCTCCAGGGCACTCTGAGCAAGAGAGGGGAAGGTGGGCCAAAGTTATGGCTTCACCCTCTACTATCCTCCTCAAAATTCCTCTCCTACCAGTTGGGAAATTAATCTGACTTCAGAGGACCCAAGACTACCTGTAGACAAGTGCTCAAAAGTACCTTGCCATCCACCTCTGGCAGGGATCCGGCTGCTGTCCCACAAGGCAGCCCATCCCCTCCTCCCGCCTCCAACCTCCAAAGCTCGGAATGGGAATGATGGGGGGTGCCCAGAGTGTGTGTCCACTAGTCAGCCCAAGCACCAACTAAGAGCCAACAGCAACAGCGCCCTCTTACGTAAGCCAGACCCTCAAGCCTATGGTTAGGGCTGACAAACACCACCACTTGACACGCTCCCACCAGCTTTCAGGGAAAGCCTCCACCGCTAACAGAAATTTCTCTGTTCCCTGCTAAGCCCGGGAGGGAATCCAGAAGGGAAATCTGAGGTAGAGATCTTGGCCAGCCACCTGAGGAAAAGGCATTCTCTAAGATGTCCATCTGGCCTTTCCAATAAAGGAGCCTCGAGGGATTCCAGCTTGGCACTCACTGTGTGATCTTTGGCACCCCTAATCCTCGCAGGCCTCCTGCAGAAGAGAGGAGAACTGACAAATGCTCCCCAGCTTGTTCACATGGAGGCCACACTTCCTACCAATTGCTCCCAACCAGTGACTCCGCGCAGCAGGGACATGAACACAGACTCATTCCTGCAAGATGAGGATCCTCCGACAGGCAACCCTAGTTCCTGGAGTCCCCATCAATCCGACAGACACTGCAAGGCAATCAGAGATCCTTCCAACCCTGCCCCTCCCTCTGTCTGTCCATCCGTCCTTCCTTCCTTCTTTCCTTCCTTCCTCCCTCCCTCCCGTCCTCCCTTCCTCCCTTCTGGTGCTTCTTCACACGAAGCAGCCTAACAGCTCTCCCTGCATCCTCTAGCTACCTCCCCTTTGTGCCCTTCCCCAATAAATCTCTTGTAAGTCTAGTCCCATTGCGGTCTCTGCTTCTCCAAGGACCTGAACCAACATGGGGAATATAATATCATCTCTCTCAAAGGAAAAAAAAAATCACCGTAAGAACTTCTAACTTAATGTCAGGCAAGTACACTCTATCCTCAAAGATTAAGGAACTGAGGCAAAGAGAGATGAAGTAACCTGTCCAAGGTCACACGGCTAGCAAGTAGCACAGCCAAATTTGAACCTGATACTTTCTCCAGAGTCCATCCTCTTAAACACTACACTGAACCCACTTTGTAGGGACAAGGAAAGAACAAAAGGAGTAAATATGAGTAAAGTGCTCAGTGTATATTAGCTATTACGATAAAGTCCAAATACAAGGTGATAATGGAATGAGGAGGATGTTAATGATAACAAGCACTGGGACTGAGCTCCTCACTCTGGTCCACGGTTAAGACATTATGACTTTTCATTCTCACAACATCCCCGCAGGATAATTATTATCACTTCCACTTTACAGAGGCTAATGGATGCTGCAGCCATGATTGGGGCCTGGGTTGCTCCAATTTATATGCAGGTGATGGTGGTAATGATATCTGGTCCCAAGCAAAGGGGCTGAAAGAGAGCAAGGAAGAAACGCCCCAAGGAGAGTCCAATGACCCAGGAAGTCTGAGCCCCGTGTTGGTCTCAGCATAATGACTGGGAGACACAGACAGGTGACAGATCATGGCCAGAGGGAGGAGGGTAGCCCTATCTGGACTGCACTCTACTAGGCAGAAGAGCCTTCTAGGACTGGGAATCAGCCCTCAGGGCTCTGTTCCCAACTGTGTCTCTTCCTGTGTGATTTGAGCAGGTTACCTAACCTTTGTAAGCCAAAGATACCAACCTCCTAGGAATGTTACCAGTATTAAATAAAATGTAAAAGAAGTGGCACGCTGAAGGGGTAGTTCTCTCCAGCAGGGAAAGGAAACAGCAGTTTAACTTGACCCTGAAGCTGGTGGCAGGTGGGAGTGATGGCTCTGAAATAATCTCCTAGTCAAAGATGCCCATGAAGAAGTAAAGACCAGGGAGGGCCTAGGGAAATCAAGCCAGGCGGAGGAGCGTGCCTTGCCAGATCAGCCAAAAGAGTATTTTATGATAACACATCAACTTTTTTTTTTAGGGACCAAGGCCAAAGGCATTGCAGAATCAGCTCTCGTGACTCACTCAATAGCCCTCTGAATTGCATCTTACCACACCCGTGACAGAGATAAGGAAACTAGCTGAAAGACAAGAATAGCCTGCTCAAAGCCATACACCAATAGCACAGGCAGGCCAGGTGTGTCCAACACCAAGGTTCATGTTCTTAACCACCCTGTCGAAAACAAGACATCTCTCCTGGAGTCTAGAGTCTATGCCCTCTGCCATACCTAACATTTACAGAAAACTTAGACCTCTATTCCAATATTCTGCCCATTGTGATAAAACTTCATCTATTAAGACCAAGTTTAATGTCTTCAGCCAGTTTTCCTCATTCCAAAATTGGATAAGGAAGGGGAGCCAGGGACAGAATAACCTCTTCCAGTTATGCTTTTTGAAGATAGGTGGAACAGGGATTTTGCATTTTAGAACTTTAAAGGTGGGGGAGGGGGGGAGTCGGGGGGGGGGCAACGGTCTTATGAAGGGATCTCATTTGCCTTCTAGAAAATAAAAAGGCAGAAAGAAGTTGACTAGTAATAAAACCACTTTGCAAATTATACAGACGTCCTCTAATTGAGATTTGTGCATACTGACTAGCCCAGGTCGGGTAAACGGAGGCAGGAGACGCGGCCTCAAAGCAAAGTCAGCAGGGTCGGCATCCAGCGTCCCACTTGTCTCAGGGGTGAGGGGCCTCTGGGGCCCGTATCCCTCCCTGTCCCAGGTGTCCCCAAGTGCCCCAGCACTTGCCACGTCCCGGAGCTCCCACTGAAAAGACCCAGGCCAAGGAGGAGGAGGAGGACCTGCAGATGCCCCCTATAGACAGTGGGCGCCCAGGGACGCCGGCAGAGTTCCCGGAAACTCCTCCCTGTCGGGAACAGGGAGGCCACTGGCCTAGCTCCGTCCTACCGATCCGAGAGCGTGGGCCGAAAAACTGTGGGATCACTGGGGTGTGCGAGGCCGGGACCAGCGCGGGCCGAGGTATCTGCCTCTGTCGGACGCAGTGGGCTCTTTAAGGCGTGGCTGCTCGTTCCTCCGCGGCGCACCCTGGGAAATGTAGTTTCGTCCTTCCTCTGGTCCTGGCTTGTTCTCCCCCAAAAAAGTAACCCCGAGCTATTTGTTGCACAGGTACGCAAATCTGGTTAGGGCAGCGCTTTCCTAAAGGGCGAGTGTTCAGATCTAGATGGGAGGTGAGGCGAGAAGGTGGTTCC